TTTGTTTGGGGTTTTTTTTTTTTTTTTTGGTTTAATTTGGTGATTGAAACAATCACATACTCACATTCAATATGAAGTTAAAAAATGTGACCATGTTGGCCAATTCTAAAATGTTTTCCCATTAATGAAAGTTTTTTTTAATATGCCGCCTTGCCCCCCCCCCCCCCCCCCACCCTCACCCCGTCCCGGCTTTTTGCTTGCGATTAAATCATAATACTATATATGAAATAACTTATTTTCTTATTAATATAAAATTAAATTTTATAAGATGAAAATATAGGGGAAACGGCTTTTATAGATGACAGGTTTAAAAAAATTGGATAAAGCCGAGACTGTGCACATTTAAATATTTTCTGTATTTAGGTAGTGCAAGTATATTTTCGCCAATGATAGAATTGAACTCTTTAATTCACGAGAGAATTAAAAAAACTTTAGTTGGACATAAGATATTTAATAAAGATAAGCTGTTTACTCTCAGTTGTTGCATAATGCATGTACAAATACTTGTTTTTTAATACCGAGTATCAAGAAATCGTACAGATGTTATACATGATTGTAATCTTCATGTACGTAAAAGACATTAGTATTTTAAATAAATTGTATAAACATTTGAATCCATGGGTAAATTAATTTTAAAACAGTTGACTAACTGAACAGAAATAAAAGACAAGAATATTTTTTTCTGATACATTAGACAAATGCAGAATATTTCTAGTTTTACGGTAAAAACCGATCCCAATTGAAATAAAACCGATCCCAATTGAAAATAATGCAAAATGTGTAAAGTTATAAAACTAAAGACAACTGCCGCCCATAAGACATGTACAAAAATAAATCAAGTAATTTTTTGGCCATATTACAACAAAAGAGCCAAATTTAACATTACAATTATAGTATTTCCTTCTTTATATAATTCCGGTCGGGATCGGTTTAATTGTGAAAAATTGTAAAACATAGGTAAATTTGACTCCTTTTATTTCTCTCAATATAAGGGTGCCCACTGATTTTATTGAGTGACTCAAAAGTTTGTACTTTGTATTCATAATAACATGAGAAAAAAAATCTGTCATTGAAATGTATTGGGTTTTATAACGTAATGAAAATTGGATAATGAATTCAAAAAGTTACTTGCTAATCTCAATTTTGGACCACATATTTTTTTCTAAAGAAATATAAATAGGAGTCTTATTCATTACTAAAATTAAAGATAAGAGTCTATGGTATAAATAATATTGACAGACACATCCAGGTTTTGCTTATCTGGTACATATAAAACAAAATAAAAACATAGTAATTTTTTTTACCCCCATGTTGACCTTTTTGCACTTGAAATTGAGCAATTACGAAAAATAGGACTAGTGGAGCACTAAAATTTTTTTGATGTTGTCATGTGTAAACACTTGCTTAAATAAGTCTATATGCAAAAAATAATAAAAATCCATGACATGCGATGTGCCACCCATTGCCTGATTTTCAGTGGACTGCCTCTTAAAATTAGATCCATAGGACGCCAATATTTTGCTATATTCGTGTAAGAAATATATACAGGAGCGTAAATTATATAACATCGTATTTATTGTACTCATAAACGTTTCTGGGAATGATTTACTAAAAATATGCATGTTAGAATTTAACTACATACAAAATGAATTTCCATATTTTCACAGGCATTATTAGAGGAATATTCAATGGAATAGAAACCTTTTAGGGCAAAATGAATTACGTTGAATTCCAGCCAATTGCATTTATTCACAAAGATTTGACATTTCGATCTAATTTTCTTTCCAGACTGTTTACATTGATAAAGAAATATTTCTATATGAATTAAAATAGATAGGTTATTTTAATCCAACTCACTATTTGCAAAATGTCTTTGAAGTATATATAGAATTTTAATTCAAAATTACCGTAAATTTGTTATTAATTAATATATTCTTAAACAGCAATTTAAATGTATGCGTCACAAAAGAAAATCGTGTCCGGTTCTGTGTGAAACATGTACTAAATAATCCAAATACTTAAAGTTTTTTCTTTGCCTGTTAGAAATTCATTGTATCTATAAAATTAATTTTATCAAAATCGTGTTTATATATATCAGTGCATTTTTTCTCTTGAGTTTTATTGCTTGTTTTTGTGTGCAGAGTATTGAAATTGCTATGTTTTTTTTCTTTGCATCTACCTTAGTTCCCATGCAATTATTATTGCTTTTATATCATGGTTTTTATAAATTGTACAAATGAAATAGATTTGATTCTCTTTGCATGATCAACAATTGCAAAAGATTCATTTTTATTAACAAATATGTTTAAACCAAGTAATTAATTAGTATCATTATAAAAAAAAACCCTCATAAAACATACCGGTACAATTGATCAGATTTATCTTGAATCTAAATATCAAATATTCATTTTATTATTTTATATATTATGTGAAATATTATATATATAAAAAAGTTATTGTCTTATAAGCAGGTTCATATTTTTTTTTTGTTTTAAAGGTGCATGGACACAGATTTGAAGTTAATATTTTCTGTTTAATATCACGACTTATAACTTTTATTAGCATTTCACACAAAAATGTCTCAAAAATTTTATTTCATCTTAAAGTTATTGAAACTTCAATTTTTGGGGTGGGTTTGATTGATACATCCTTGCACTACATTTTTCATTTATACACAAGATTGCCACTTTTCCTAATTATTAAGAACAAAATTGAAATTTGTGAAAGTGCAAGGATGTGTCAATCAAACCCGTCTAAAAATTTGAAGTTTTAATATCTTTTAGATGAAATAAGATTTTTTGATAAATTTTTGTGTGAAATACTATTAAAATATATAAGTCGTAATGTTATACAGAAAAAATTAACTTCAAATCTGTATCAATGCACCTTTAAACCAACATAAAATTAAGAAATTAAGAGTATAAACTAAGTATATAGATACAGGAAAGACAACTTTATAATTTTCACCCCTATACACTGTAATTTTTTATAATTTATAAATCTATTTATTTGAAAGGCGTTATTATTAATAGAAATAAATGTTGTAATGTTATCTTCACTGCGAAGAAAAAAAACCCAGTCTATTATATAACTATTTTTTTTTTCACATTTCATTAAACGTATAATTTTTCCATACCAAAATATAGATTAAAGTTATCTATTTAGGGCCATTTTTAAAATAATGTAGTACGTATGCACATTCCCAATTCAGGGTAAAATTGTTGGATAGGTAGGTAGATGGAAAAAATTTTAACAAATTTTAAATATATTGTCCTGGAAAGTAAAACACAATAAAAAACTGAGTCGGGCCATTTTAGTCAGTCGGTCGGGAGAAGACAACCAAACAATTTTTAAAAATGGCCTATTCAAACTCAGATATTTCTTTATGAATTTTAAATAAAGAGGCAGCTAGTAGAGGCAAATGAGAAATCAAATAAAATGAAATTAACAGGTAAACAAATATTTTATATCTAGTTGGATATGGAAACTTCATATGCTTTTATTAAAAAAAATATTTTGATTCATGCTTTCACAAATGAACATATGTATCATTTAATATTCCAGCTCCCTCGTAGAATAATGTGTACAGCAATTCACAAAACATTTTCTTTGAAATATTTTCTATCTATCATAGCTCATTTAAACTCATTTAGATATAGTTTACAAATGAAAATTTACTTTAGATTTAGGTACAATTTATGAGTTTTAAATCAATTTATTAAATATCGTTTGCAAATATATCTGAATATGAAACATTGTTCACATATTTTAATTACTGTTTTTCTCTGATAAAAATTATAAAAGCAAGAGTACTATTTTTCTCAACAAAGTTAATTAAGGTAAATATTTGATGTACTTTATTTAATCATATTTTTTTTTAAAAAGAGGTCTTTCCAATATATACCTATTAATCAAATAAAAAAGAAATGAAAATTTTAACGTTTAATCGTTTACACAAAAATGAATAAAGAATATATGTTCTATATATGCGTTATACTAAAATGACCTATTTAATGACATTCTTTCATTAATCAATTTTTCCATTTATATTTGCAAAAAGTATAATAAAAATCGTACTTAAGATTGCAAAATTTTTATCACGATTTTAAAAAGCATTATGATGTATATCTAAGATAATAAATCACATAATTCATGCAAAAGCAGTTTTTATGTAATTATAACATAAATGATTGTAATTTGAAATATTAAAGATCATAGATCATTTTTCTTTTAATTCATCACCTACCGTTTGTGACAATTTATAAGTAGGGGAAGGTCGTCTTATATACTTAATAATGAACCTGTCATAAGCAATGACTGAAAAATTGATTTGTTTTCATGTTTTCGTAATTTTAAGATTTTAAAACTGATTATAAACATGTTAGAAAAATTATTGTGTAACGGTTTTCATCTCTTAAGGATGCAAAACGAGCTCATATTAATTGGAAGTCATTCATCAAAAAGCTTTGAGATAAGGCAGAATAACTGTTTCAGCTAATTACTGAGCAATCATGCATTGTCTGTCGTTTAATCGCTTAACCTAATTATAACATTAAAAGAATTAAAGATTTTCATTTTGGAATTGCATGCAAGGAATACATTCTTTAAAAATACATTTAAAATGCTTTGCAGTACTTTGTTTTCTAGGTTTTCAGGTCTCAAAGATAGATAATGCCTTAACTATAAATCAATTTTTGTGTCTAAAGATTAAAGCATTTAAATTAAATGAAACATTTCAATAAAGTGTACAATTAAATAGCCATGTTTTAATCTGCAATCATGCAACTTATAACTAGAAACTGCTACATGTTGCAAAATTTAGAATAAATTAACCCCAAACTGATGCAGGGTTCATGTATCAATTTTAAACTAATAAATTAAAGATATAATGTAACTTATAATGTGTATATACATAGTGTGTACATATTCAGAGCTGCAGATGTATCATACTTTAGAAGTAGCAAAATAGTTTGTTTTAAAAAATAATGTAAGCTGCTTACCCCAAGAATCGCTCCTTCTTAACACATGCAATGCCGACAGAGGGGCGGTCGACTTTATATTTCTTCTCTCAGTGTGACAATAAATTTTGTAATGGAAGAGTACACATGTAGTAACTTGATAGACATCCAAACTTATAAGAAGGCTGTACAAATGCGGAAACAGATGTGACAGATCGGAGAGTCAATTAATATACCATAAAAGTCTCTTAATTGTCTCAAGGTGACATAAATTATCCGTCAACATGAATTGAATTTAACGTAATGTGTTGTCTGTAACTTAATTTTGATTTCAGGTTATTTTGATTAATGAATGTAGGGAACAGGTTGCAATAGAGAAAGTCGGAAACCACCTAAAGAGTTATCTATTTAAAACTTGTGTTGAGCTGTAGATTTTTATTCAAGGTTATGCGAAAATTGAGAATAAAACATGCACCATAAAGAAAGCAAAAGTTCTTACAATTATCTTTAAAATTTACCGATATTTGATGTAATTTTCAGAAAATGAAAGTTAAGAATAAAATTAATTTTTATGCCCACGTAATTGAAGATTCGAGAGGTAACGAGTTTATTGCTCTTTCCATCTCTCTGTCTACCTGTTTATCTGTTTGTTTGTCCGCAAAAACTTAAACCTTGCCCGTAACTTTTGAGTGGGTTGACTAACGTTTTCAATTTAACAGGTGTATGTCATGTGACAAAACCTTTCTTAAGGTACCACCAGTTTTTACCTCGTGGCCTTGACCTTGGAGTTAACCCCACTTTAACCAAATATTTTTAACTCTTTTATCTTCCTCATAACTTTTGAACAATTGATATTTAGGGTACTCATATTTCACATGATTATTTATTGTGACCTTTCAATAAGATTTTTTATTTTTAGACCTTGACCTTAGAGTTTGTACCACTTTTGAAATACTTCAACCTTGGCCATACTTTATGAATACCCGGTACTTGCTACTAGCCTAAGAACTTTTCGTATTTCACAGGTATATTCCTTACACATGTATGACAAGAAATTCCATTGGATTCCAACCGTTTTGACCTTTTGACCTTGACGTAAATATCAGAAACTTTAACCCTCGCTATCAGTTGCCATACAGAAGCATCGATGCTTAACAAACACATTTGGTTTTTCATTGTATTTTAAGTACATTCGCAATGTTTATCGTATTCGATATTTTAAAGAATAATCACTGTTATAATATGACTGTATGTACAGATATAAGTATAAACAGAATTCAAGTCTTATCTCTACAATAACCTCTGTGTTGATAGTCGATTCGCAATTTAATATGAAGACAGTTTATTTACAATTGACCTTCATCGTTTTGGTCATTTCTGTATTTGGTCATAAAAACAGAATCGGGTCAAATACTAAGAAAGAAGGCGAAAACTTAAATATTACAGGCGTGCAGTTCATGATAGCAGTAAATGCAACTTATCAAGGAGAACAGTGAGTGTTGGTTTTGTGTATTACTATCTCTTACCAAGCATGCCATAACAAAATCCATCATACTTAATTTACTGTTATAAAATAATAAAATGTGCTCTGGTCGTTAAGTGTGATGACATCTGTTATTCGTGTGATGATAGTCTTGAGTAAATGTAGCGAGAGTTATTCTAATTACAAATGGCCAAGAAAGGAAACATAAGACATTAAGTAGAGAATAAAGCGACATGATCTTCCTCATTATTTTTAAATTTACATCAACCTTGAATGTCTGTTTATTTTTATGCGGAAACCACATTAAAAAGGGTTCATGTTCCTGTCTGGTTAGATGGGTTTATAGAGTAGGGCTTTCCTCGTTCGCTTTTTTTTCTATTTTCAGTGGTTGTATTGCTTCTGTTCAAACTCCCTGGCTGCAACCAGGAAAGAAATGGAATGAGACAAAGCCGATAAAAGTAGAGAGTTGTGACAAGGGAAAAATGATTTACCAAATTATTCCTGCAACTGACGGAAAAAGCAAAGTTGTAAGTTATTGCAGAGTTGAATTTATCAAATCACTTTTAAATAATAACGGATATTTCTCGACTTGATCCAAAATAGTTTATTGAAAGTGGAAAGCAGAGGAAAGTAGAAAACATGACCCAATGATCACAAAAGTAACTGTGTCAATGGTCTCGTTTAAATAGACCTGTTATGAACAGTTACCGTCACGAGCAGAATGAAATATGTCCCATGTAATTTACAGAATGCTCTAATAAGTTAATTTTAATTATTTATGAGATCCAATTCTAAGAAAACATAAACTACATGTACGTGTAGCACATTAACCTTTCATTATGATACTGGTTTAGTACAAATACATTTGTATTAATTAATGTTAATTTTTTTATTAGTGGGGTGAACAAATAGAACAGGCAAAAATATATCAAATTGTTTGGTGTTTACTGTCATCTCGAGAATTTTTCACTCTTATGGAGACACCACAACTTACCCATGGAGGGCTGCAAATGTATACCTTTCAGTACTAGGCACTTGAGGCCATTGAGCAGAGAGGGATATTTTTCGTGCGAACACCCACTGCAACACGGGACCTTGCTTCAACCAGTCTTATCCGTAGCACCGGTCTCTGCGTCACAGAGTGGAATTATTATTATTCCCTCGCAAACGCAGTGTTGGTGACATAGTTGCCCAGTCGTGTGTGTTTGTTGATTATGTCCTGTACGAAACGAAAAAGAATCTGATTTAATATGCATCGGGATCGATATCTTGATTTATAAACATGCTCTTTGCGAGGGGATACTCCACCTTACAGTGATCTTGTTGCATTTAAAACATATTTCTATTTCAAATTTGATCTTTTAGATAAAAAATTCATATCATTTTTTTTATATAATCAAAAGATTCATTGTCAGGTCATTTTAGGTCATGGATTTTCAAAATAAAATATCGCCATCATTTATACAGTGAAACCTGTCTAATCTGACTTGTACTGGGAGATGAATTTTACGTCGGAATAGACAGGGTGTCGGACTAGATAGTGTTCAAAAACATGGGTAATAGTAAAATGGGAATGAAATTTCACGTCGGAATTCACAGAGTGACGGATTAAACAGGTTTCGGATTAGACAGTTTTCACTGTATATATTTTAGCAATTGCGTACTACAAGAATTATCATTCATTATTTACAGAGCATCAACGTGACTTTTTTCTCCTCTGATGTCTTGGATGCTGAGCCACCAATGTGCCAGATCCCATTTAATGGAACCTTTCTCCTTCCTGGTCCAGATGGTTATGATGACGAGCTCATGCCCAATTGTTTTGTCCAAGATTCTCGAGAAGGGGACCATCTGACATACTTCTGGTTTAAAATGTTTGATTGGAAAATGGAATAAATTAATAAAACAGTTACATGTTTTGACTCGATACTTAAATATTATGGTCCTTGCTAAGTTGGGTTGATCACGTTATGTATCACAATTTTTTTCTGAGAAAATACATGTTTAAAATTTCTCCTATTCTAAAATGATATTAAATGAAAAGATTCCATTATCTTATTAATTAAATGCAAATGTAATTTTCATAGCTAATTGGCATCAATTATTTTGTTGTACTATTACAAAAATTTCGTGTCGAAACTAAAACTGTTAATTGAATACAACCTTTAACTTCTGATACAATACCACAGGTTTATGACATCGAATTTCATTCATGTATCATGACATAATTATCCTAATAACTGTATGTAGCAGTTCATAATATCTTTTAAATGAAAATGTACTGGTTGATCTTGCAAAAGGATTTCAGTTTTGTTCATCAATGATTAATATGCATCTTGGTTTCATCTTTATTAGCGGGTACCAGAAGAAGTACAGAAATGTTGTTAGACAAAATCAAGGAAATGAATTTGATAAAAGGATATATCTTTTAATTTCTCGGGTCAACGTAACATTCTTAACAGTCAAAGATTAAGATGATAAATCATGATAAATCTGCAAATAACCTTTTCGAAACAAGACGTACAAGTTCGTTGGTTTCTTGGAAATATTTTTGCATATTTTTAACTCTTTTTATAAACTTTGAAAATATGTATATATGAGTATATATTTATCATAACTAAATATTTATAGATTCTTTGGCAGTTTATGCCAAATTATCAATTCATTTCTTCTTGATCAATTGCAATGCTTTAGCTCTGTAAAGTACTAGTAAATCACATGAAATAACTGATATATTTGATACATAAGAATGTTAGAGAATATTGAGGGGTCTAATTTAAGGCTGCTAATGCAACTTTTAAAGAAATGATCAATTTTTAAAAGACCTTACATTCAATTTTCAGGACACGTTATTAGTAACATTAATGTGCAATAAATGTAAAATAATTTTATAACTATTGAACTAAAAGTGCTAGTTCACGATAACTACGGTACTGCTCTCTTGCAGGGTAAATTGAAATAGTTTGGTGGAAACAACTGCGATTGTTTAATATACGTCATTTATAATCCTCTACTGAACAAGTCCAAGGGTATGTGTCCGATGCATCGTTAATTAGCCCTACCCATACGAAAATGTGTAGTTGACCGTCAACTAGTCGTCAACTAGCCGTCAACTAGTCGTCAACTGATAATGCAAAAACAGTTGACCACTCGGAGTTTAATGCTTTTCTGAAAAGCGATCAACTGATTTGCATAAAACGGCCAGTTGACCATTAGTTGAATGCTAATACTTTGAAATTTCATGCAAAACAAGAGTTGACCACTAGTTGACCACTAGTTGAACACTCCGACTTGTTAGAAAATTTCTCCCACGCTACATTTATGTTGGGTTCAAAATTACATTATCATAGATCGAGTTTGTTACACCATAATTACCAAGATTTGAATCAGTACATGTGTGTTTTCTGTGGAAGGTGGGAATTTTGATTTGAACATTATTGTCTTCGTGATGATTCAGCGTGTGAAATATATCTCATGTACTAGCTATTGTAAGTATATATAAAATGTAAAGATTTGTTTTACTAAGCTTGTTATTTTTAAACAGATAATAGGAATACAAAACACTGTAGCCAGTATAGGTCCCTTTTTTTGTTCTCTTTTAAATATTGACAGAATTCTGAAAACTTGTCATGCATCAAGTGTTTTGTTGTGTTGGTAAAAATATACCATTGCTTTAGATTAATTCTATATATATAACCTTTTCTGCACAAAAAATGAAGAAGGCATGTAACAACTTATGAGAGTGTGCCAGCTCAATTCATTTATAATGCATTTAGATTTACAAGTACATTTATGTCAATTAAGAAACTCCATTGTTTTGACTTTTCATTTTTTCAAGAACACTGCTTGTCTTAGATTTCAAATCTCCCTCCATTTTTTTCAAATATTTAATAAAATGCAACCTACGTGCACTGACTAATGGAGTATTCAACTAGCGGTCAACTGCAAAGGAAATAGTGGAGTATTCAACTAGCGGTCAACTGCAAAGGAAATAGAGGAGTAATCAATTAGCGGTCAACTGTAAAGGAAATAGTGGAGTATTGAACTAGCTGTCAACTGTAAAAGAAATATAGGAGTATTCAACTAGCGGTCAACTGCAAAGAAAATAGAGGAGCATTCAACAGTGGTCTACTCTATGCAAATGAGTTGACTGCTCCCTCATTTGCATGGCAAAAATTCAACTAATGGTCAATTGACGGTCAGTTGACCGTCAACTAGTAGTCAACTGAATACTCCGATTGAATTCTAATAGTATTTTTTCATATGGGTAATTTTTTGTCCTTCAAAAGAACAGTACCACAATTATTTTGATAGGTATAATTAGAATGATATAAAAAATGAATTGTAGTTAAAAGATATAGAAATCATGAACTATATTAATTTTGGCAGTCTAGAGGTTAACCATTTAATAAGTTAGTAAATTGACAAAGAGTTTAAATAAAGCTACATGTATGTAGATTAAGCCTAAAAGCATGAAAAAAAAAGATTAGGTTTCATAAATTTATGTTCAGTGTATTCATATTATTTAATTTAAACACACGTACACAAAGGAAGGTCTTTTCATTTCCTTCTGCGTTTTCATTATTTAATATATCCATAATTTATATTTATGTCTATTTTTTCTTGCTCACATGCAGTGATTCACATTTATACAAATATAATTTTAAGGGCACCAATCGGTCATTTTTAAAAATTAACATAAGAGCACCTGATTCGCCAAGTCGTATAATGGCAGATAATGTTTCTTTTTGGTCAAAAACGATTTTAAAATTCACTTTTTAAATAAACTAAAACCACCACTCAAATATTATCCAATAGTATTTTTTTCAATTTTGAAACAGGGATTTTCAGGAAAAGGTTTAAAAGTTGCTTTCATAAATTAAACAATTGCATTTCAAATTAAATTCATTATTCATATGTGAAAATTAAAGTTAGATACGTTTTAAAAATAATATTTCAGAGGAGAAGATAAGCACTCTTTCAATATGTACACTTTTTAAAATAATGAATCAAAAGACAATTTCTTTTGACATTAAACATGGATTTCAATTCATGGTCCTGAGCTTCAAAAGTGTATGTTTTAACCTACTGGGCCTTCTTTAAAATTATGTTTGTTTACGAGGGTTGATCCAAAAGTTCGTGGAATTTCTTTCTAAAATTTTATCGTGATTTGATGAAAGCCAAAAACAGGCATATTTATAATATAGAGTCATAATGCAACAATAATTTCCAATTATCAATAAGGTTACACGACTTTCGCAAAATGGATTGTTGTGAAACATGGATTTCACGTCACGTTATAGAAGCCATGGTCCTGCCCTTTTCTCAAATTTTTTCTCTAGAAAAGCCTGGGTATCCTCTCGCACCATCAAAAGTGTATGCCAATTTCAACCTTCTTTAAAATTTGTCTAAGTGGATAAACACTTAAAACAGAGCCAAAAAGCGCCCCCTTTATGAACGTCCATGGACGTTCTATTTTCTTAGATTTCTTATGCCAGTGGAAAACCAGCAACTAAATGCATTTTAACTCAGCCTATATCAATAATATACACGTTTCAGATATAGTGATCCCGGAATTTTCAACAAAACGTGTGACTTGACCGAAATTTGAAAAAAAAAAGATGAACAATTAATCACCAACATATTTGTTAACAAAGGTTTATAAAAGATCAAACAATAGTAATAATGATATAATTTTCGTTTTATATGCAACTTCATTTAAGAATTATGATGATAAAAACAGCGTGGCAACTGCCATAGAGTTACTGGAATTAAAATTGTTTTTTTTAAAAAAACAAGTTTTTATATTCTTATGTGTAATTTTCATGCAATTTCACTTAAAAACTTATAAGATATGAAGAAATTCCAGTTTTGGATAGGCACTCAGGGTAAAATTATTGGGAGAGGAAGGTGGGAAAAAAATTCAACAAAACAATTTTATAGAAAAAATAGCGTAATGTAAAAAAAAATGTTTTAGGCAGTCGTTTGGGAGAGGGCAACCAAACATTTTTTTTATGATGTCCTTGGATACAAAACGAGGAACCTGTTTTCATATTTTCTAAAAATACATACATGTTCAACAATTAAAGGGAATCAATATTTATGTATGTCTGCCTCTCATCCATGAAAATAAGATCATCAGAGAGTTGAATGTCCTTTGTTTTCCATGTAAAAATATTGCAAAACATGCGGCCGAAAATAAATGACAGAAAAAAACACACATATAAAAATAGAATCCCCTGTAAAAGACAGTGATAAATACAAGTGCAAAGTACATGGAAATGTAAAAGCAGCTTTTAACATAACGTGACAAGAAAAAAAAACAAAGATAATGCAAAGTTTACATATTTCTAAAATACTGAAGTCTAGTAACCTACAATTCTTTGGGAAAAAACTGTACATCATCAAAAACAAACATGCATGGCCATCTTTAAAATAATAATTGCTTGCATTTTCCTGACTCAGTAAAAAATTATAGGGTTGGTAGGTAGGTGGGAAAATAATTTTTTCCAGAAACTTTCAACAAATTTGTTGACGGAATTACAGGAATAAAAAGAAAAAATATCTTACCTTGAATACAATATAAAGTTTTGAGTCGGCTTATTTTTAATCAGTCGGTCGGGAGATTTTTAAGATAGTCGAATACTGTAATTATTTAAACAATAAAATGCTTTCTTTGTTTGTTATTACTGGAATGAACGGAAGCAGCTGTTGCAGAAAAAATAGATAACCCGCGTAAGCGGGTTATGTAAATTTTTTCTGCAATAGCTGCGACCGGGGCAACCAAACAATTTTTTACGTTTCATTGATGGAACTGCCACTGATCAAGAAATACTGTAAT